GCCTTCCTGTCCGGCGTGTGAGGCTGGGGAAGAAGACTGTTGTCTACCCGTCTGCACGGCTGCGGCTCCTGGTCTGTGTCCCACCCAAGCACCAAGGGCGCCCCCAGGGGCACCTGGGAAGCCTCGTGACTCATCCCTCCGGCCCAGGCAGAGGCGGCAGGAGGGAGCTCGCTTTGGCCGAGGACGGGACATTTCTCCCCAAGTTCACGGCTCACAGTGGCGTCTGCCCACGGTCAATGCTCAATGATGAGCCGTCCGGCGATTGGATGAATGAACCGCACCTGCCTGCATGGTCTCCACCGACCAAGCACCAAGCGTCTCTGACTTCTCTCCTCCGGGCCTGTGCCTGCGGACGCTCCACCCCCTGCTTAGGGCCAGGCCCGGGGACGACGGTGGGATTCCAGACTGAAAGCTGTGGTTGCGGCCTGGGCTTGGCTGTGTGGCCTCCTCTGTAAGCCTTGTTCGCCCTGCTTTTCTAACGCGGAGACTGGACTCCTGATCTCTCTGGTCTCCCCCAGGCCCGACCATCTCTCTGTCCCGTCGGAGAACACTAGCGTTCAGGTGCAAACTGAGGGATGGTCCGGCTGGTGTGGCTCAGTGGTTGAGTGTGAGGTAGACACCTATGAACCAGGAGGTCACAGTTCCATTCCCGGTCAGGGCTCATGCCTGGGCTGTGGGCTCCATCCCCAGTGTGGGGCGTGCAGGAGGCAGCCGATCCATGATTCTCTCTCATCATGGATGTTTCTCTCCCTCTCCCTTCCTCTCTGGAATCAATAAAAACATATTTAAAAAATCATACACATAAGAATACAAAAAACTGGGCAATGTGTTAAAATCCATTTTCTCACACTCCAAGGGCAGAGGTCTCAGTTGCAAATGGGGCAGATTCTGAGAGAAGGTGTTGAGGGCTCTGTGCCCCCCGGAACAAACGCCTGGCTTGGGGCGGGCAGTGGGGGAGGAGGGGTGCGTGTGCTCTGTGCTTTAGATGCCACAACACAGCCGTCTCTCTCCATAGTTTAACTTCGCTCTCCCTCCACCGCTCGGCCACGGGAATGGACGGTGAATATTATGACCATGACATTCTGAAATGATGCTTAGTGATGCAGCAGAAAAAGAGCATTTCACTCATTGACAAGCTTGTCAATTTGCTCAAAGTGGCTTGCTGATGCCTGCGTCACAGACGGCAAAGTTCAGGCGCATAAAATGCCTCGTCGCTAACACTGGGCCCTTGTGCTCCTCTGGGAGCTGAGAGACGGGGGCTGTTTCTCCAAATCAGATCAGCACTAAAGACTGTAAGATGTTGCGTGTTTATGTTTATGTTTATAGCAAACAGACCAAAGGCATCTTGAATAAGTCACCTTTGACACCCCTCACCTCCATCCCTCACGCCGCCCGATCAGCTGCCGAGCCCTGCCGATTCTGCAGAGTGTTTCTCAGTTCCACCTGCGGCCTGGGCCCTGTCACTGCTTGATGCCTGGACGGTGGCAACAGGTCCTCAGGAGGTCTTGTAGTCTCCTGTCTCCCCCTCCCCGCTCCCCCCCCCCCCCCACACAGCATTGATCCCTCCATTCCCTCCCTCGAGAGCAGTGGTTCCCAGCCTGGGGCACACACACCACAGGGGGGCAATTTGATTTTTAAGGGGGGCAATTCGAGAATGAGTTATTAACAGTGATTTTTTTGCACTTCTTATGGTTCTAGGGGCCTCCTATGCAGTATATAAATATATATTGTGACATATTTATGCATTTCAGCTCTCTATTACGTGTGTTGAAACTTTATTTGCTACTTTTTCATATCACTTCCTATTATTATTTTTTAAACGATTTCTTAGAGATTTCTTCAACTGTCCTTTCGTTTTTTTATTTTTCTCTTTCATGGATGCCATGTTCTTTGGAAGCTTGTTTAGACCAAAAGAATGGCCTTTTGGGCTTCCTTTACATGAATAGGAGTTCGCTTTTTGAATAATAAGAACTATATGTCATGGGGGCATCAGGGTTTTAGAGATGCTTAGGTGGGGCGTGGCCAAGAAAAGGTTGGGAACCACTGCTCCAGAGCCTGCTGTGGCTCCCTGGTGCCATCACATGAGCGTTCAGTGTTGGTCTGTCCTCGGCCGGTCACCCCACGCTGCGTCCCTTTATGAACGAGTGGGTCCCTCCCGAGGCCCAGCTTTGCATCTGCATCTGCATCCTGGGTAGGAATCGGTGAAATAAAGACCCTGGACCCCTGCCTTGTAGGTGCTGGTTCTGGAGGGGCCTGGGAAGCAGCAGGTGAAGGAGAACCAGTGTCGCCTGAGCTGGGGGACCCATGGACCTGCTGGCCTGTCCCACCAGCCAGTCCTGGTCCCTCATCCGCTCCCTGGGCCCTCCCCACACCTGACCCGTAGCTCCGCACCCCGTCTCCGAGCTGACGTTCCCTCCACCACGAGGGCTCCCCGACCACCGCGGTTGGGAGGACTCTTCTTTAAACTCTATGGATTAGACTTCTCGTCGTCATCAGGGTCCTTCGCTCCGTGAACTGGAACACAGGCAGCCCTCCTCTTTCCTTCCCGCCACTGCCGGTTCGCACACCTCGGGCGAATAGCTGGGACACTTCGGATGGTTTCTGTTGGTAACAACACTTCACATCCGCACCGTTCCGTAGGGTACTTTCACAATATCTTAGTGGTCTTCATTCATTTGGCTGATGGGGCACCAGCTGGGTGGTCACGGAGGTGCCAGGCCCTGGAGTTAGGGCATCGGAAAGCCACCGTCTACCCAGTGACAGGTGAGTCACCAGATACTGATGATCACATAGAGGCATCTGACACCTGACGGGTGACTCTGTGGGGTCCCCTTGCCCACCATGTACCCCGCCGCCTAGCCCAGAGCCTGGCCCACAGCAGGTGACAGAGTTAAAATGCTGCTCCTGGAAGCCATGCAGTGTGTCCAAATGAGAGGCCAGCGGGTGCGTGGGAGTGTCTTGCGAGGCCCATGACGGCTTTGTCTCCTGAGGAACAAGGGGTGGGCAGTGCGGGTGTAGGGTCAGTAAGCTTTCACCATCTGTCTGCCCCGCTGCGGACAGGCAGGTGTCATGATCCCAATGCCCACGTCCTCAGGTGGCCCCTGGGGTGAGGGTGGGTGACAGGAAGGTGAGCACCAGGGCCTCTGACTTCCAGGCCGGTGGCTGCTCCGTGGGGTCGCGGCCTCTGTCCTGGGAGGCTCAGCTGAGCAGCTCTGGGACCTCTGCCCCCCGGGCCCCCTCCGAGCTCTGCCCCAGCAACAGTAGACTTTGAGGGTTTCTGCAGCATTGGATCGGTCACTCTGGGTGCCTCTCCGGCTGGTGGTCCTTGGAGGCAGCCCTGCTTGCAAGCAGGGGCTCAGGGCTTCCAGCGGAACCTGGGCTCAGCGCCGAGCCCCACCATTTCCTGCTGGTTTATCCTGAGAGAGACGCGTGCACCCAGTGTCTGACTCGGGGAGACTGGTGTGGTGTGTCAGGGGTCAGCCTCACGCCCTCCCTTCCTCGGGCTGACCTTGAGTTTGCAGCAGTGACCTTGACCTCCTCCATGGAATTACCTTCGGCATGGCCCTCGCTCAGGGCCTTCTCTGCAGCCGCCCCACTCTTCCTGCGGGAGAGGCGGTCCCCAGGGGCAGAGAGGCGCCGGGCCGACCGAGCAGGGCCCCTGGGGCTTCTGTCCTCTAATGGGGGGATTACAGGCAGCATCGGCCTGGGACTCGAGGCCCCGGGGGAGCCCCGGGCTCCTTGCTGTCGATTAAACATCCCCCCGTCGTCTCCCCCTGGCCCTGAGACCAGGGTCCTGGTGGGCTCCACCTCCTGCTCCCACACTCACCAAGGGGGTCACAACCCCCTTTCCTCGGCGGAGCTTCTGCCAACCTGGATCAGAATGGTGCCGGGAAGTCTCGGAGAGCGGTCCCGCACACGTGAATGGGCTGCAGCAGAGCGCAGCGCCTGGCCTGCTGCAGGGGCGGTGAGCAGGCGGCTCTGCGCAGTTCACAGAGGCCCACGTGGGCGTGAGGAAAGAGGGGCGCAGGCAGCTCAGAGGGCCCCCCATCCCAGGAACCCGTGTCTCTGTCCGTGGTGCTGAGCGCCCCCCCCCCCCCCCCCCCCCCGGGTTCCCTTGCTTCTGTTGATGCTGGTGACTCCTGACCCAACTCCCCGGGAGTTTCCGGCTGGTGGAGAAGGCGGAGAGTGTGAGGACGGGGAGAAGGCTGGGCAGAGGCGGTGGCAGCAGTCCAGCCACGAAGGACTGGGAGGCAGAGAATTTGCCTTCCCCACATACCCGCTGTTGCCCAGAAAGATTTTTCTCTCTAGGACAGTGGTTCTCAACCTTCTGGCCCTTTAAATACAGTTCCTCATGTTGTGACCCAACCATCAAATCATTTTCGTTGCTACTTCATAACTGTCATGTTGCTACAGTGATGAATCGTCATGTAAATATCTGATATGCAGGATGGTCTTAGGCGACCCCTGTGAAAGGGTCGTTCCACCGCCAAAGGGGTCGCGACCCACAGGTTGAGAACCGCTGCTCTAGGAGTGAGTGGAAATGTGGCGTCTGGGACCACCCACATGCGACTCATGGTAGAGAGGAGTGTTTATCTCCACCCCAGCCTGGGGCTGGGCCCCAGGGTCCGGACTCCGGATTCATCCTTCCAAGCCCAGCCGGATCTCTGCAGGAAGCGCCCCCGTCCAGGCAGAGCTGGTCATCCATCCCCCGCTCCTTGCAAATCTCACTTACGTTGCCTTTCACTTTAAATGACCACAATGTGCCTGGCAGGGGCTGGGCGTCGCTGATCTCTGTACCCCAAGCGTGAGCTGGGACCCGAGCAGACCAGAGGTGTCTCTCGGACAAACACCCTGGGATCACCTGCCTGTCCGCTCTGCCTCCTGTCTTTTCAATTTTTTAAAATACTTTTAAATTGATTCCAGAGAGGAAGGAAGAGGGAGAAAGAGGGAGAGAAACATCAGTGATGAGAGAGAATCATTGATTGCCTGCTGCACGTCGCCCACTGGGGATGGAGCCCGCAACCCGGGCCTGTGTCCTGACCGGGAATGGAACCGTGACCTCCTGGCTCATAGGTCGACGCTCAACCACCGAGCCACCTGTCTTGAAGAGAACGGCCCACGGGGACCCACCCGCTGGCCCCACACTGGTCACCCTGCCACATTCAGCCTGTGGCTGGACCCCTGCCACCTGCCTGCCTGCAGGTCTCTATTCCCAGGGCTGCCAGAGAGGTGGGGCTGGTCCACCCGGGCACACGGGAGCCGAGGCACATGGAGGGGACGGCTTCCCCCAGGCAACGCGCTCTGCCTCGGCGGCCCCGCCATCCAGTCTCCTCAGCCTCGGTTCAGCCGGGGCTCCTTTTTGTTCCTCCCGTGTTTTGAGGCATTTCCGAAACAGCCACTGCTGTCTGAACCTCTGAAGAGGCCCGTGCCCCTTCGCTGGGGGGAGAGGCCTCACTGCTCGGGCCTGGCCTCGGCCATGCTCTGGCTTCTTTTTATGTTTATATTTTTATTGATTTCTGAAAGGAAGGGAGAGGGAGAGAGGTAGAAACATCAGTGATGAGAGAGAATCATGGATCGGCTGCCTCCTGCACGCCCACTACCGGGGGCCGAGCCCACAACCATGGCATGTGCCCTGACTGACCGGGAATCGAACTGTGACGTCCTGGTTCATAGGTCGACGCTCAACGACTGAGCCACAGAGGCCGGGCATGTTCTGGTTTCTGATGCTTCCACACGGAGCCTCCCCTCTCCCGTGACCTGGACCCAGACCTGATTGCACATCTGCTGTGCGCCAGGCACTCACAGCAGCCTCCCTGCTCAGGGGACACCCCGCCCCACGTTAGAGAAGATCCGAGAGCTGCCAGGGTGAGGGGCTCGCTCCGGGTCGGACAGGGCCGCTGCAGAACGAAGCCGACCCGGGTGAGCTCCACGGCTGCCACAGGCTCCTTCGGCCTGGAGCCTCTCATTCCCGAGGCCTGGGGACCATCTGGCCTGCGGCTAGAGCAGCCGATCTGTGGGAGGAGCCGCCCTGTGATTTCTTCTCTGGGAGGTTCCCAGGGTTATTTTTTTCCTCCTTCCCAAACGCCCAGGCTGCCGTGTTCCCACCTGAGGTCATTAGCCTCAGCTCAGGTTCAAAAACACAGTGTTTGTGTCCATTCGTCTAATTGCCAGGAACCATCAAGCCCTCATTACCAGCCGCCTAATTATTCTGAAAACCAGCATATTATCCTGTGGAACAATTAGAAGCATTTGCCACACCTGCCGGGGGACAGGAGGGAACCCTGGCTCGAGGCAGGTGGAGGGGAGGGGGCCGGGCTGCTCTGGGAAAAAGCGAGGCGTCTGCAGGCGCCGGCCTGAGACAAGGGAGCCGGCAGGCGCCCACCCACCTGCTTCTGATTATCTTCCGTCCCCCCGACTTGCAAAGCCACTAACAAGTGTTTCCCCTTAATGAGCAGGGCGGATGGGACCCCACCGGCCGGAGGGGACGTCGCTACAGAGCGGATCCTACTTGTCACCACTCGGCCTGAGTAAAAGCCTTACCTGGTGTGGTAAACAGAGTGGCCTGGGCGGTTTCTAAGAAGAGCTATGAACCTGAGCCAAGTGTCTGCTTGTTCGCACCGGAAGCGTCCTGCACTGTGACCCCTGACCCTGACCCCTCATGCTGGGGGCTCCTTCTGGGGTGCGGGAAGTGACTCGGGGGTGGCCCTGCGGGCGGGGGAGGGCTTTGTCCACATGATAGTCTGACATGCACCCCAGAACTGGAAGGTCTGGAGTGGAAGAGGCTTGCTAGTCGGCTCCTGCGACCTCCTGATTATTGATAAGGGGGCACGTCCGCAGAGGAGGTATCATTGGGGTGAGCACCAGGCACGCAGGGCGGGGAGGGGCGAGGGAGGGACGGCTAGTGGCAGGGGCAGCCGCTGCCCACCGGGGCCTCTGACCTGTTCCCAGTGCTTCAGTGGATTGAGCCACATGGTGCTCCTTTGAGTCACTTACTCTGCTTCTCCCCCATTTTACAGGTGAGGAAACTGAGGCACAGAGCGTTGAAGCAGCATACCCACGGTTCTACATAGCTCTTAAGTAGTAGAGCTGAGAGTGGAACACAGGTGGTCCGGCCCCATGGCCAATGCCTCAGTGATTCTGCACCACCTCCATGCACTGCCCAACCTCACCCAGCACCAAGCACAGCCCCCACCCTGCGAGACTGTCCCGTGGGTCACTGTGACACCAACAGGAAGTGGCAGCCTCAGGGCCCTCCGTGCCGCAGCCCCCAGCAGTATGGCACCAGAGGGGAATGGGCAGCGGATGTGCAGGGCCTCTGGGCACCAGCCTGGCTGCACCAGGTAGCTGGGGTCCAGGAGGTCTTGGTGGGGGTTAGGGTTAGGGTTAAGGTTAGGGTTTAGGATGAGTGTTAGGGTTAGGGTTAGTGTTAGGGTTAGGGTTAGTGTTAGGGTTAGGGTTTAGGATGAGTGTTAGTGTTAGGGTTAGGGTTAGCTGTTAAGTTCGTGTTTAGGGTTAGGTTCATGGTTAGTGTTAGTGTTTGGGAGACTCCGACTGCCTTTCCCTTTCCCCTCACTCCCTCTCTCTCGTCCTGTTTCCAGGATGAAGCACAGGACACAGGGTGAATGTAAGGGTTTGGAGCGCTGAGCTGCGGTGTCAAATGGGAACTCTCACCTCACCTGCTCAGGACCCTCGGGGACTTCAGCACTTTGGCTGGTGGGGTGACAACGATGCAACGGCGGCGTGGGAGGAGGCAGACACGCGTGTGGACAGCGTGGGAGTGGGTCCCGCCCGGGGTGGAGGCTCTCACACAGCTGCTGTTGCTTTAAACAAGACGTGATGCGGCCCGCGGTTCGCCCCTTATTGCGGAGGCCTCGCTGGCTTCGCGTGATGGTTGAGACGGCGACTCTGGCATCTGGCCGGTTCTCTACTCTGTGAACTTGGGAAAGGATTGTCGGAGGGTCTCTAAGGAGCGAGAACGAGCGGACACGTCTCTGCCCGGGGTCCGGGCAGCCTGCTGGCCCGTTTCCGGACGAGAACATGGAGGCCCCAGGCGCCAAGGAGCTTGGCTCCGTGGTGCAGAGAGAATTCGAAGGAAGATAAGCTGGTGACAGTCCCGTGGACCATCCTTTTGTGGAACTTTTTTTTACCTTATTTTTATTCTTGGCTACATGTGAGCCCTTTAGATCAACCTGCTCTTTATGGGCCACAGTGACAACCATCTGTCCCTGACCCAGCCTCTAACTCCAATTCCTGTGCCCAGCGGCGGTCACTGTCCACTGTCTAAGGTCCTCCTGACACTCACCTCTCTCTGAAAACATTACACAGACATGTAATAGACATATTAAGTATATGTAATAAATCTCTATATAATGTCTTTCTGTATACATTTTCTTTTAGGGGCCGTGTGGAAATAGTGGGCCTACCTCTCTACCCATCCCTCTCTGCTTATCCAAGCTTCTACCCCACGTCGGACTGGCTCTACTGCTCAGGAGAACGCCGACACATGCCCTAGCGTGTGACTCCGAGTAGCCGACCCGACCTGGTCACCGGGGGCTTTAGTTCCTTCATTGGTGAAGCGGCCCTTAGCACGCACCTCAGAGAATTGTTTTAAGGATGAGAGTAGATTGTGCCCATTGAATACTCAGCACACGCCTGGCCCATGGAAAGCACTAAATAAGGAACAATGGATAGCCATGACCACATGTCCTCCTCCCTGAGGCATCGCTCATGTGTTCGCGCTGCCGCTTGTTTCAGGAGCCACTGAGAAAGGGACAAAGCAGGGCCGCCTCGCTGTGAGCACCCCCCCACGGGGACGCGTTCTGAGTCCCAGCGGCTCTCAGTATGCAGGCACCGCGAGGGCAGCATGGCTCGCTCTGCTCCCTCCGCGCGTGCTGCACCGCCTTGCTCCCCCTGCGCGGTCGCCTGCAGGACACGGTCGACGCGGTTTGGTTGGGACGAAGTGAGATGGTGCGTGGTTTGTAGATGTTGGCCCTTAGTTACCCTCCGTGCATAACTGCGGTCCTCAGTACAAAGGCTGAGAGGGAGCAGGGCCAGCGCTCACCATGCTCCTTCTGGGGGGACTAATATAAGCCCATTTTACAGATGGGGGAACAGGGAGTGGGGGATGTGCCGGTGGTGGAGATGCAGCTTAATTTAGAGAAGGGCCTAAGCAGACCTCTCTGAGGAGGAGACCCTCAGGAGACCAGCAGGATGAGACAGGGCCCTGGGGGAAAGAGGGGAGAGCATTGCCACCAGAGGGAAGGGCATGTGGGGATGCTCAGAGGCAGGGGAGAGCACTGACAGAAAGCTGGAGAGGCCTGCGTGGTCGGTGAGGGGGAGACAGGCACAGGCTGAGGCCAGATCGCACAGGCCTCAACGTCACTGCAAAGTGACTCGGCTTTGGACAGTGCAGAGCCCCCGAGATTGGGGGAAAAACCGCCGGTAATTGAGAAGAAGAAAACAGGAGTAATGAAGTGCTCATTCGCAGGCGCCGTGATGGGGATAATGGATGGTGGCCAGGCAGACCATATGCACTTGGCTAACAGAATTAATCATGTTCGGTGCAGCACAACACGAGAACGACAAGCACAATAAAACATTTAAAGGCGGGAGTGGGTTTTAATTTCAGGAGGAGTCTAAAACAATACGATAACGATGATAGCCAAGTTGGCCCCGTGAATGTAAAATCTAAATAGGACCCAAATTAAAGTCATAAATAATATTTAATTTGCTATACCAGTGCATTCTCAAAAGTCATATTGATGAAAAAACTTATTAGAATGAATCAAATGAGGAGCCTCGTACGTCTGGAATACTTAGTGGCCTGGAGAAATGCTGGCGGAAAAAAAAACTCCATACCACGACGTCTGGGCTGGAAATGGGAATGAGAGCATTATGCTTTCGGCTTGCGTCCGCCGAGCAAACCGCGGGCTGGCTTTGCAGGGCTGTTGTGCGAGATTGGAACAAACAGGAGAAGACGGGTTTTTAAGAACTCGTGATTAACGGCATGCGAGTGCTTCCATGCGGTTTTGTAAAAACTGTCCCGCGGATGCTCTGCGCGCTCCTCTGTTACTGAGTCGCCAGCGACGGGGTTGAGGGACCTTGTTCTGCTGTCGCCCACAGTTCCTCCCGGGCATCGGACTTTTATGAACTTGGACTTAAAACAATTTGGGGAGGGTCTGTCTGTTGTCTGCGCAGAGCTGGGAGAGGCAGAGGAGGTGCGGGAGAGAGGCTGGCTGTGAAAGGCCAGCTACCCACCTGCAGGAGGTGAGGCCTGATGGGCAGATGAGGGGAGGGAACTCAAGTGCGAAGTGATCGCCGATGTGCATGCAAAACACATCAAAAGGAACGTAAGTGCCGGGGAGGGGGGCAGCCTGGGTGCTCGGGCCCACCTGACAAGGCCACGCCCACCTGGCAAGGCCACCCACCTCGACTTTAAAACCAGAAACCAACACGGGGTCTTCACAGGCCCGTGTTCTGTTCTGTTTCTCCGACTGCAGCCAAGGTGCGTAAATCGTGCTGGGACTGTCAGGCCCAAGGGGCCCCTGAGTGAGCAGGTCCCCACCCCACACACAGGTTTCCAAGGCGCTGTGTACCCTGAGCTGCGCCGTCGGAGGTGTGGGGACAGGCGGTCGAGAATTAAGCACCAGTCTCCAGCCCAGCCGGCGTGGCTCAGGGTTTGAGCCTTGATCTATGAACCAGGAGTTTATGGTTTAATTCCTGGTCAGGGCACATGCCCAGGTAGCGGGCTTGATCCTCAGTGGGGGGCGCAGGAGGCAGCCGATCCATGATTCTCTCTCATCATTAATGTCTCTCTCTCTCTCTCCCTCTCCCTTCCTCTCTGAAATCAATAATAATAATAATAATAATAATAATAAACAGTTTCCAAAGAAAAACAGGGTCACTGTGCCTCCGATGATCATGTGACCTTCCAGAGGTCGTGACCTTCCACCAGACTCCCCGGAGAGGGCCCGCTTCCCGCCCCCTCGTCCCTTCCCTCTGCTTCCTCGTGCACGCGCACATGAGTGCTGGTCTGGCTCCGGACGGACACTGCACAGGAGCAGCGAGTCCACCTCCATCCTCCCCCGAGGCCCATCAGTCACCAGCGCCACGAGTTCCCTGCCCGATGCCTCCGTGGGGCGCCCCCGCACCTGCCACGCGGCCTCCCTGGCTCTCACCCGCGGACTGACGCCGCCTCCTGGCGCCTGCCTCCAGCTGCCCTCCTCCCACCCATCTCCCGCCAGGCCGCCCAGGGGTCTTCCCAAAGTGCAGACCGGATCCCCTCCCAGTCTTCCTTAAAACCCTCTTCCTAGCTCCGAGGGCAGCGTTTCTTCAACCTTCACAGAAACCCCGGGCGCCGGTTTGATAAATAACGATAATCGCTGCTATTTATCAGCGGCGATGATTCCCTGTACCCACCGCTCCCTGCGCGCCGGCCGGGCCCTGTGCTCGCGTTCATCCGTGTAACCCGCCCGCGTTACAGGCGAGGCAGCGTCTAGCCCGAGGTGACGTCACACAGCGGCCCCGGTCCAGGTCCAGCCTGGCGGGAGGCAGCGTCTCTGCTGCCCGCTCTGGCCCTCCCCTTCCTGTGCCGACTCCCCTCCATGACCCCATGTAGCATTTCCTTGGGGACTCCTTGCCCTGGGCCTGGAGGATGGACCCCAGCATTCCTTCCCTGGCCCCACTGTGGGCCTGCCACCCACCCACCCTCTTGTCCCGCTCCTTGCCTTTCTGCTGTGGGCTTCCCTCTGCTTCTTCCTCCTCCTTGAGACTCAGCATGAGCATCACCTCTTCCAGGCAGCCCTCCCTCACACCCCAGGCTGGATCTGGGGCCCCACCTGAGCGTTCCCGCTGCACCAAGCACCTCCACCCTCTGTCACCCTCTCCAATCAGGCATTGCCTTGTCTTTCTCCCCCTTCAACTGTGAGTTCTCAGAGGGGGTAGGCCGTGTCCCCTTCCTTCCCTCCTTCCTTCCTTCCTTCCTTCCTTCCTTCCTTCCTTCCTTCTCCTCCCTCCCTCCCTCCCTCCCTCCCTCCCTCCCTCCCTCCCTCCCTCCCTCCCTTCCTTCCTTCCTTCCTTCCTTCCTTCCTTCCTTCCTTCCTTCCTTCCTTCAATAAACATCAACTGAACGCCTTCTGCGTGACAGGCACTGTGTGAGGCACAGCCGATGTGATAGTGACAAGACCAGAGGAGACCACACTCTCATGGGAATCTGGTTTGTACCAGGAGGTTGAAATAGAAATTTTGGTCGGATTTATTTGGAAATAAATGCCACATCCCAAAGCGGCCAGCCACGAAGACCTTGTTCCCACAGCGGAGTGTGGGCCGCCTTGCAGTGTACGTGCCTGGCCTTGGGGTCAGGGGGCCTGGCCCCCAAGATCAGCTCTGGCGGGTGGCTTGCTGTGTGCCGCTGGGCAGGGGGCACAGCTCCTCTGAGCTGTGAGACGAGGTGAATGATTCAGACTGCAGTGGGGATCCAATCAGAGTGGCCCCCTGCACTTGGCTGGGCTTCCACTGATGAAACATCCTTTCATGTCTGCCCCTCATGCCCCTACCCGCCTTTTGAGCCCCGTCGCTCACCTAGTCCCACGTCTCCGGTTTGGCGTTAGGCAGCAGGTGCTCATGCGGCATTCCTGACCCCGCCTCCGGGGAGGACATCTTCCGTACCGCCGCCCCCGCCCCCGCCAGCCCAGTCACACCCCCGAGGCCAGTGCAGCAATTCGCACACCTGCCATCGCTGTATTAGATTGCCTACCATTTCTCTGCTTTTCCAAAACTGTGCTTTATTATTCGGCTAAATTACTAATAGGGGGAGAATGGAAGAATCCAGTCTTAAGAAATCCAGTAAACACTCGCGCATGCGCTCGCACGCAAACACACACACACACACACACACACACACACAAAACCCTTTAATAGGCGAACAGATAAACTATGGTTCATGGGATACAACTCAGTGATAAAAAGAAATGACCCATCAAAGCCACAAAGACACGGGGAAGCTTTAAACACCTCCACGAAGTGGCAGAAGCCCGTCTGAAAGGCCACAGGCGGCAGGATTCTGGAAAAGACAAAACCGCGGAGACAGTAAGGGTGAGAGGGTTCCCGGGACGGGGGCAGGGGAGGCTGAGTAGATGGAGCACAGGGGTGCATAAGGCAGTGACACCTCGTGTGATACCATCGCGGTGGACACGTGTCATCATACATCCGTCCCAGCCCACGGAACAGAACACGCACCGCCGAGCGTGAACCCCCATGTAAACCGCGGGCTTCAGTGACCGGGGCGCGCCCGCCCCGGCTCGGCGGTTGGAGCGATGCCGCTGCAGCACCGAG